TGAGGTGAGTACCATGACGCTGAAAAAAGAAAGAAATTTCAAAATCTTTATATTCCATGCATTATCGGAGCGAGAAAAAGCTAATATTTTAGGAAAATTGTGTTTCTTAACCATGGCAGCAAATTGTTAAATAAAGTTGTTTGAGCTCAAGAGCGATTTTTCATAAGAAACAACCATGTTAAAACGCGAAAAAATCATCTATAAAAATAACAATAATAGCGTGCGCCTCCCATAGTTAGGAGTTAGGAGAGGGTCCCAAATATCAGAGTGAATTGAAAGATCAAATGAGCAAGAGAAACAGAGTCACTTTATTAAACGACAAGGCAGGTTGTTGGCAAGTCGACAAGGACACACAATCTAAAACATCAGAACTACATGACCTAAATGACCACTGGAAATTAAAAGATTTTAAACGACCAACAGAAAGATGGCCTTAAACGGCAATGAACCAAAGCTGAAAAGGAAGATAAAGGAGGAGCAGTCGGTTAGCCAGTGGTAGGAGCTGTGATCTGAGAGGAATCTTGGAACATTGAAGATGGATTGAGTTCGTAGAGACGTCCATCTTACGGCCTATCCCAAGAGTTTGCCCCGTCCGAGGGTCTTGCACCAAACAACCAGAACGGGAAAACGGGTAACAGTTGACCATGCTCACATAATTGACTAATGGAGATAAATTTAAAAAGAGCATGCATAAATAGAATGAGATAAAATAAGTGAGAGGTTGAAACAGAACCAACATGACTTACAGAACAGAAGAGGGACCCATCAGCAGTATGGATAGAAGGAACATGAAGAGTAGAAGAGAGAGGAGTAAAAATATAGGGTCAAGGTCATGTGATTACAACAAGCGGAGTCAAAAGTACCGAAGAGTTACCTGCGGGTGGCAGATAAAGCAAGTAGATGAGAGGAGTACCAGAATTCTGCCAAAAGTGTGAAACATTGGCGTCGACATCGGTGTTTGAGAGAAGACTGGAGTGGAAGGATCTATAGGGACAGGGGAAGGTACATCCTCTGAGGCAGCAGCAGCAGTGCGTTGAGCAGGCATTGGTTTAAACGGAGTCCCAAAACGGTGAGAGTGGCTGCGAGAAAAATTCCCGGTGGAAGGACCATTGCGAGAGGCACGGGCGGGATTGCGGAAGCAATCGTGCTGGAGATGACCAGGGCCAGTCTTGTTGCAAAACCGACAAAGGCGAACTGGACAATTAACCAGAAGATGAGTCGACGAAAGACTGCGGTTTTGACAGTAGTTGTAGGCAGTTGACCTCTGTGGTGAAGGAGAACTCCGAATCTAGGGAGTAGCAAGAACAGAGTCCACAGGGTGCGAATGGAGAGTACCAACCCTGGTTTTCTCTGACAGTAGTTCAGAAATTGCTTGCTCAAGAGTAGGTAAAGGAGTGCGATGAATGAGAGATGCGCATACGGGCTCAAAATGGGGAGTGAAAGCCATGAAAAACTGAACCAGGTGTTGTTGGTCACGGTAAGTAGTAAACAAGGCAGCATCCTCCGTATGGGGCCGTGGAGGTTCAGAAAGAGCGAGCTGATCCCAAACAGAATACATTTGGGAGAGGAAATCATTAATGTTCTGAGTTGGTTCTTGGCGCATACGGTGAAGATGACTCAGAAGCTGATATTGGTGAGCAAGGCCAGTAGTCTGATAGCGTTCTTGTAAAAAATCTCAGATGTTTTTGGCAGGAGAGGAAACAGAGTCAAGTTGGAACCGACCAAACTGAAGGCTGATAGAGGTAATAGAAGTATTGTGAAACCAAGTGATGATCTGATAGTTTTTACTATCCCAATCTTCCAGGCGGTCGACATATTTAGTAGCGGAGTCTGGGGCAGCAGAATCCGTGGGCCCTTGAATGGGTTTGCACACATCCCCAGTGATGATGCGCCAAAGCTTCTTTTCTTTGAGGAAGCCAGACATAGCTTGTGCCCATAGGACATAATTAGTCCCGTCAAGAATAACGGAAATAGGGTGATTAGAGAAGTCCAAGCGATCCATGAGAGAAAAAACAGCACAATCAAGGGAGAATCTGAAAATTCCAAGGGCACCAGTGAGTGCAGAAGGGCCAAAATAGTCAGAAACCGGTTTGAACCGGCCAAAAAGGTCCAAAAATGGGGGTGAACCGGCTGGGGAAAGGGGCTGAACCGGTTGGAGCCGGACCGGCTGGAGCCGAGGTGGGGAGCCGAGGACAAAAGCGGGTGCGAGCCGGCCAGCCGGTGAGCTCTGAACGACCTTGTAACCGGTCATGGCGAGGAGGAATGGCTAGTTCGAGGCGGTGAGGTACTGTCCGAAGCAGGATTTGAGGCGGAGGAAGTTGGCTCCGCCGCCGTCGTCGTCGACGAATTCGACGGTCCAGCGGGCGTTCTTAGCGGAGCCGTTGCGGTCTTGAGTGACGGAGTCTTCGTCGTCGTCGGCGAGGAGGTACTTGTCGTGGTGGCTGCGGAGGCGCACCGCCTTGGCGTTGCAGAAGAGATCCATGCTGGTCTGAAAGGAAAGCCAAAAATAATGGGGAATTGGGAAGTTCGAATTAGTTGAGCTCCGGCGGGCGGGAGTAGGGCGTGGGCTGCGACGGCGACGGCGATGGCGGAGCCAGTGATGGGAGGGTGGGGTGGATCGTTGCTGATCTCTGTGATGCGACTAGGGCCATTCGATGTGAGTTTCGAGCTAGAAGAGCCATGGAGGTTTCAATAAGCATGGTTGGGGTCCGGCGGGCGGTGAAGGCAAGGTTGCCGCCCGCCGGAAGGTGAAGATCACCAAGAGCTAACCTATAGCTCTGATACCATGTAAGATAAATTGATAGAGAGAAAGAGAGAGAATAAATTGTGTATTGATTGATGTGTTTCTGTATTGTATGTGATAATTACAAAGAGAAGGAACTCTCTCTTTATAGAGAGAAGAATGAAACATTGGATACCAACAAAACCCACTATCACCGAAAGCAACAAAAGGAATAAAGCTAAAGCTATACAATTTATATACTAAAGCTAAAGCTAATTAACAATTATAAATTAACAATTATATATTAACATCTTCTTTCTGTATTGTATTGATTTGATGATGATATTCAGTTCAGTGAACGCGATTCAAAATTGCTATTGCCACCCCCCAAGTATTGCTCTCTCCGCTTCCCTACCTCCTGTTGTTGCCGCTGCATTGGTCCACTTGTACTCTCCTGTTTTGTTTTGTTTCGCACGGCCTTTTTTTTTTTCATTTCCTTAATATTTTAAAATAAGATCACTAAAAAAAATTTAATATCATTTGCATTTTCTAATTAATCAAATTTTGGAAATTTATAAACTAGTTTAAAATTGTTTGAGTTTTATGCTATGTTCAGTATTAAACATAAAATTTTTTTTAAAAAAATGAAAGAAAAAAAAAAGAGATTGGTTTTATATGAATTTTGAACAATAAGCAATTTATGCATTAAATTGTAAAAATAAATCTTATGTACTTTACAATTATTTTTTGTTTAATATCATTTTCCAATAATCGTCCGTAATTTTTCTATTGATATTTTTTTCCCCAAAGAAAATGAAGTTGAAGTTAATTTTTTATTTTTTAAAAATAATTGGTTACAAGGATTTTAAATCTTTTTAATTTTTAGAATTACAAACTAAGTCAAATACAGTACCAAACACTGGAGGTCATGGTTCTATTCTCTTTTTAAACAAAAAAGAACACACGGTTAATTATTCAATAGTCTTAGAATATTATGTAAAAAGTATTTGCGTTGTATTTGGTTTAGGACTTGAAAAAAAAAGAAAAAAATTAATTGAAATGTGAATAAAATATAACTACATTGCACGCACTTTTTTTTTCTTCCTCTCTCTCTCTTTTCAAGTCTTTTTTCAAATTCATGAATCAAACACAATCTTAATGTATTGTCTATATGATATTTCAAATTTATAAGTGACAACTCACTATTAATATATGTTACGATTTTTTTTTTGGATCAAAATATATGTTACGATTTCTCATTGACTAAAAGCACCACTATCCTCGTACAATTTTATGGCATCACCTAAACTGTGTTTGGTTTATGAATTTAGTGAGACATTTTGAAAAAAAAAAGAAAAAGATTAATAAAATATGAATAAAATATAATTACATTTTACTTACATTTCACACATCCTTTTTTTTTGAGCTTCCAAATCCCTCTGCAAATCTATTAACCACACATAACCTTAACTAATGAAAGTATTAGTAAATTTGCTGGGATGATAAAGTTCTCATGCCACGAGTTTTAGACCAAATTTGGAAAGGCTAAATAAGTGTACTTTTTGACTTTTTATAAAATATGGATTGGATTTGAAGTGATGTGTTAAAGATGTGATATGACTTAAATAAGATGATGTGACTTAAATAGGATGGTGACTTTTTGACTTTTTGAAGGATGCCAAACTTGGCCTTAGTGTCACAACAGATTTCAAATGCTCTGAACTCACAAGGGCGAGACTAAGATCTAATGTCATGGGAATCCAGGGTATGCACAACAAAATATCACGAGAGTAGTTGAAGCTTCATATCTCAAAACCAGTGGATTTGAGTTCATATCATGATTTTAAATATCAGAATATATCGGGTATCCTTAACAATTATATATCAACTGATATTGGATAAATAAATATCAATATCGAAATTCCAAATTCCTGATGCATATCAACCCTAATTCCAAAATCCTTATTCATTTATTTTGGTATAGACTAGGACAAGAATAGAACCATGACATCTAGTAGTATGTCCTTTTTTCATAATTAGGTAAAATCCATCCAGACAAATAGAACCAATTCAAACCAAACCAAACCAAACCAAACCAAAAACTGACAACTCAGCAAATTCCACAAATATCAAAATAAAGATTAGCACGCAAAAAAGATGTCATCATTACAAATGGTAAAAAGTCACTTTGCCAAACCTACTGAAAAACAAAATATTATTGAGAGATCAAAATTTCAAAATTGCATTGAGAAAAAAAACAAAATTTCATTGAGAGAAAAAAAAAAAAAAAAAAGCAACACAAAACAAAACAATGGCTGGTTCAACATCATAGACCCAGAATCTCCAAGTGCAATATCAAGTACAATGCAGCCTGCAGGCTTATAGTGCACCCTATCAGCAATACATATATCACCCTTGGCTGCAAGAAGCAAAACACACCCCAAGACTAAAGATAAAACAGAAAAGTGAAAAAACAAAAACAAGCTGAAGAGAAATCCCTAAAATAAAAGTCCAAAATGTGTATATAAGATGCACCTTAATTTCATCAGCGTCTACTGGTTTTTCCAATTGGGCGCTTCCCAGAGAACAAATGTTTTGGTTTCAGAGTGGGAATAACTCTATCTGCCTCTCCACGTCGAGCATCCTTGTTCCTCTTCTTGACAGATTTCTTAGCCATTTTTAGGGCCTTCACCTTTTGAGCAGAATCCTTGAATCCCTCACCCGGGACCAACTCACCTGGTGGACGTGACCTCGATCTTGATCGGGATCTAGACAAGGTCCGAAGCTTCTTGTTAGGTTGTTCGGCATCCAAATCCATGGCATCACCACCATCATTATTTCCACGGTCAAGAGATCTCTCCCTCTTACGTCCCCTTGACTGGCTACGAGCTCGGTTAATTGCAAGAGTCGGATCAAGCCCCAAAGATGATAACTGCCTTCCCATTCTCATTGATGTGAACTTCTTGTCTTTGTCGAATTTCCTTGGTACCGTTGGTCTGCTCTCTGCAGTGCTTTTCTTGATCCTATGCTGTTGAATAAGCAAACTTTTCTTTTTACGAATCTCAGCCAGCGCTTCTTGTTCTTCTGGGGTCAGTTCGGTGCCATCCATATCCACATCCTCACCTTCATCCTGATCCTGACGAAGACCTTCTTCCTGCTCCAACTCCTCGAGCCTTTGCAAGATATCGGGATCAACGAAATCATATACATTGTGCCCATCAAGAATTTCTGGCATTATGTCTTCTTTCCATTCATCATTTGCTAAAACATAATGTTTCCTCAAGCTAGCAGAATATACACCTGCTCCACCATTCTCGTTCTCCAAATCCCTCTCGAGCTTCCTCTTCTCCTGATCCACTTCTTTCTTAGCCTTAGCTTCCAAGACTGCCTGAGGTATACAAGGTGGCCTTTCTTTCTGATCGCGTGGCTTTGGCATTGCAACATGAAAGCGATTCAAACAATCACTTATCTTTTTAGACTTCATTTTCAATTCCACTCTTTGATTTAATAACCTCTCACAAGCCACATTCTTTACTGCAATTACTCCATCTTCAGTCAAAGTGCTCATGGTCAAGAGTACCTCCTCATCATTTGTAGAATCCCCACCTTGACCTATCACAGTCTTCATAGCTTCAGATTTCATCTCCATGACCAACTTCATGTCTTCTTCAGATATGCCATCTAACGGCTGCAAATCGGTTTTATTGCAAACTATAATCAGCGGTTTGTTCATGAACAATGACTTGATACTGTGGAAAAGAGCAGCCTGTTGTGCAATACTATATCCACATGACCCAGAAATATCCAAGAAGAACAGCACAGCAGCTCTTAAATGTGCCAAGGCAGTGATGCTGCACATCTCAATGATATTTCGATCTTCAAATGGCCTATCCAAGATTCCTGGTGTATCTATTACCTGATATCTTAGGTATTTATAATCTGTATGACCGACAAATAAAGACTTTGTGGTGAAAGCATAGGGCTGGACATCCACATCAGCTCTAGTGATCTTGTTGATGAACGAGCTCTTGCCCACATTCGGATACCCACAAATCAAAATCGTCCTTGTATTTGGATCAATTGAAGGCAACCTAGCCATGTGCTGCCTGATCTGTTCAAGGTATGCCAAACTAGGGCCCACCCTCTTTATTACAGTACACATACGGCCAAGAGCCGCAACCTTCAGAGACTTGCATCGATAAAGTGAGTCACCATACTTTAACAATTTCACATAATCCTTGGAAATTTTACCAATGAGATTCCTTGCAGTATTAATTTGACCAAGAGCAAGCTTGTAGTGATCTTTGTTGTAGAGAACATGAAGAAGGTCACCATAGAAAGGGTGAATATCATCGAGCCGGGGGAATTCCTCAATGATAGTTGAAAGCTTCTCATGAAAGTTCTGCTGTGTGTATTTCACTTTACGCATGTAGAACTGACGGATGCGGGAGATAGCATAACCCTTGTGAACAACAGTTGGTGTTTGACGTTGGGTACGGGAAAGGATGATATCAATGAAATCATCCCTGGTGGGAACAACTGTTATCTTCTTAAAGTTGTACTGCACCATAATTAATAATTTATGTTTCCCTCTGCAATACAAACATAGAAACTATAAATGTTAGAAAATTACAGGAAACATAAAAACCATTTGAGAATGCAACAAATGTTTCATTAGGGATGTAAACAGGGCAGATAGGGGTCCGGAGTATCTTCAGCTTGACATTTTAAAAAATAACCCATCAACACAATGACAACTAAGGATTCTTGTGCTGAAGAGAGATAAAGAGGATTTGTTTGTGTGTATGTCTGTTGGAGAGAGTAGAACTCTTTCGGCACAAGAATCCTCCGAAAAACCCTGAAAAACTACAATCTAATCACTAAAGTTTAACCCTAACGCAGCAGCACAAGATAAAGAACAATAACAATACACATCAAATCAAAGCTTGCAGTACAACCCAGACAAATCTAATTTTGGTGGTGTTTGGCAAGATTTGGTTTTGGATTTTTTTTGATTTTTTCCACTAAAAGACAAAGTTTTTGCAAAACCAAAAAAAACAAATCCAAACAAAATATCACATCCAACTCCATAATCATTTCACTTTTTCTCTCACAAACATCACATCCAACCACAAAAAAACTCAACTATCTTCCCAAACACCAAAATTTTTTTATCCAATAATATCCTACTACTAAAAAAAACCTACATAAAAACCAACTTCCCAAACACCCACTTTATCTATTTACAAACAAGAAGTACCCATACTGAACCTAATTTAAGCTCATCATTAGTTAAAACCCTTATGTAAAGTCAATTATATTACACAATCTCATTCCTTTGAAACTCGATATTACAAAACTGTAACAAAGATTCAAAAAATAAAAAATAAAGAACTAATTCATTCTTTACAATTTTTTCTCAAAAAACACATCAAAACAATCTTCCCATCATATGGACTAAACAAATTCAAATCAAAACAATAGAACTCAAGTTGCTCAACCAAGATGCATCATGAACTTATCCCTCTGAAAGGCATAGCTAATGTTGATCTGAGAACTCACAAGACTAGCGAAAAAAGAGAGAAGATAGAGAGCACAGGGACTAGAGGAAGTAGAATAAATAGGAAGTGAGTTCAAAGAGAGCGAGACAGAGAGGGAGAAAGAGGTGCAAACAAAGAGATTAGTTACCTATGTCAACTACACAGCACAACAAGAAGAAGTCAGAGGTACACACAAAGAGGTGAATTTTGTTCTGTGATTGTATTTTCCGCCATTATTAGCGGTAGAAGCTCGGAAGTAGAAGAGAAATGAGGGCTGGTCTGTTTATATAGGGGCATGATGGTATTTAAGTAAATTTTCAATTAAGAATAGATTCCTGCATAAGCAAAAAACTAAGAAACATCCCAAAGCCAGATTTTTAAAATCAACTTATTTGGCTTCAAATAAGCTAAAATATAGCTGTTTACAATTAGCAACATCAAACATGATATTTCAGTTTAACTAAGCTGCAACAAACAACCCATAGGTTTAAACTCAAGTTTTGTTTCTCACTACAAGTTGAGAAATTTGTTGAGAAACAAAAATTATTCTTTATAAAAAAAAATTATAATATCTAAAAATTACCCATCTAAATACAAAGTAAATAAACTAAAAAAGATGCGTACATCCTCTTTTATTTTTCATCCAAACAAATGGGGAGAAACAATAATCTTATCACTTCTTCTCACGCTTACTATACCAAATGCAGTGCAAGAGGCCATTTCATATGTTTCATATAAGTTACCTTGTGTGTTTAGTTGTATATGTGTGCACAATAAATAAGTCTATATATGTGAGTTTTTAGCATTTTGAAGAAGTGCGTTGATTTTACTAAGCTTGAACACATCATAGAACCAGACTACCAGTACAATTCAAACCCATAAACAAAATTGAATTTTTTTTGGGTACACGTGATTGTCTCAACGATCTCAATGAATAACATGAATTTCAATAAAAGAAAAGCAAGTATGAATATGAGGTTAACATGAAATTGAACTCAGCTGCCTCAAGTATTTGTAGTAAATCAAACAATCACAAACTAATAAAAATATCTATGAAAAGCAGTCTCTTTTCCTTTCTAATCTTACATTTTCAAGATAACCAACAACACAAATAAACAATCAAAAAAGCACAAATTTGAATTGAAGATTAGAAAGAATGAGAACGAAACCTGATGGAGAAGAGAAGTGAATCCTGTTTTCCGAGAAAGAGGGCAAATCGTCGATGGTAGAAAGTTGCGAAGCGGCGCAAAAGCGACGCTGCAGAGATTTACGAGGCTGTGTTGCAGACACTAGGGTTTTATAGGGTTTTTGGTGGAAGATGAAGATAGTCCAAGTGGGCCGGTTAATTTGTTGGGCCTAAACTGCTAATTCTAACCCTACCTAGTCTCATCGGCCTATATATAACATCAACCACAAAATCACTCTTAACAATATTTTTGAGAAAAAATTTATAATAATTAGATTAAATTCAATATCGAGCCAATCTGGATTTGGAATAACATTTATACTCTTGCTTACTATGTAGCTCAAGCTTACTTTCATTCCAACCAAACGCGACGTATGCTTACCCCTATCTTTGTGTATGGTCTAATTATGTAACATGGAGCCGCACCGAATCAATTTAGGTCGTATTTGGATTGATTTATGTAGAAATTTTGAAGAAAAATAAAATAAAATGTGAATTAAATATAAATTATTTTATTATTTCTTTCACATCTTTATCTAATATATATATATATATATATATGTATATTTAAATTGTATACAAGAAGGTTTACTTCCTATTACATACTATGAAAAATATCAAGAGAAATTAACTTCTGCTAATGGTACTAAAATGCATATCAAATATAAATTACCTAAAGTACATGTTTGCCAAGATAATGTATGTTTTAAAACATCTTTGTTTTAGTAACAAATATGACTGATAAAATTATTTTAGGTTCCCCATTTATCTATTTATTATATCCCTTTACTACATCTAGTACAGGCATAACTACACATGTTTTAGGTCAACTTGTTACGTTTAAATTTATATCTCCTCCTGAAATGTTAGCATTAAATCAATTAAAAGATTGTTCTATTTCTCATACAATTAATCGTTTAACTCGGCATATAAATTTTCTTAAAGAAGAAATCAATTATAAACGCATTGACCAATAATTAACTGATCCTGTTCTTATTTCTCAAATCAATGATTTCAAATTAAAACTTGAATCAACTGTTTGTTCCACCTTACCTACTGCATTCTGGCATAGGAAAAAACATGTAGTTACCTTACCCTATATTAAGAATTTTAATGAACGACAAATCCCAACTAAATCTAGACTCATTCAAATGAATCATGAATTACTTGAAATGTGTAAAAAAGAAATTAATGAATTATTACAACATCGAATAATTAGTCCAAGTAAATCACCATGGTCTTGCCCTGCTTTTTATGTTAATAAAAATGCTGAATTAGAACGAGATGTCCTTCGATTAGTCATCAATTACAAACCTTTAAATGCTGTTTTAGAATGGATTAGGTATCCTATCCCTAATCCTCAGGTAAATTAATATTTTGCCATTCAATTGGGTTTTATCAAGAATTTCATCAGGAAATTTGGATGCAAATTCAATATATATATATATATATATATGTATTCAAATACACGTTAAAGTCATCAATATCAGCAAATCTACCTAATTGTGTGGAAGGGCCCATATGATTTTTATTTATGGGCGAGCTCTTGTTTCATTGTAGCCCAACTTTGATATGACTTTAATCAAAATCCTTTCGGCCCATAGAACTCAACATGCTAAGATGGCATTACGAGTATGGAAAATGATTTACAACACAAAATTTATACAGAAAGCACATTTACAATGATGTGTCAATAGTATTTATAAAATTTTGAAGCTAATGATAGATTTTTTGATAGAAAATGAGAGGATACTAAGGCTCCGTTTGGGAATAGACTAATTTAGTAATTTTTTGACTATTTGGCTAAAATATGAGCTAAAAAAACTAGTATGTTTGGGATGACTTTTTGACTTTTTACAAAAAAATGTGCAAAAAGTAGAGAGAAAAGATAATCCTTGACTTTTTGGTATGGATTGTTGGTTTTTTAGCTTTTTTAATAACTTTTTGACTTTTTAGTTAAACTGACCCTTCCCAAACGAGGCCTAAGAAATCATATTATTCTGTATGAAAATTTTATACAAAAATTATTTGTATATCATTAGGGTAATGATACATCCCACTAAAAGTGGTGCTCTAAAGCACCACTAATGAGTTGGCAAGCACTTTAACCCAAAAAAAAAAAAACACAAGACACAAACAGTGAGTCCCGTCTACTGCCACATCACTAGTGGTGTTTTTAGAGCACCACTTTTAATGGTCACAAGCATTATTGATATCATTATTCTATGAGTACATATTAGTAATCAATTGAGTAGTAAGGTAACATAACTTTTTATGGTGTTTATGGGTAATAAAATACCACAAATTGAATTAGGTGAACACTTTTGGTCTCTCACTAATCCAATCATATAATCTCATTACAACAATATAAATTTCCTCATTGGTTGGCGATACCATTACAAAATATCATTGTGTATCTAATATTTAGGGTTGGTTTGGCATAAATTAAATAGAAAAATGTTTGGGGAGCACTAATTAGTGCTCCCACTAATTAGGTGGCAGTGGGTTCCGCCATTAATGATGTGATGTTTTGCTCTTGGAGTTGTATTTTTTTTTTTTTTACTTTTTTAATGCATTAGTGCTATTAGTGGTGATGTTTTTAGTGGGATGAATCATTGTTGAACTAAATAATACAAAAAGTTAAAAAGTCACTATCCTATTTAAATCACATCATCTTATTTAAATTACATCACATCTCTAACACATCACATCAAACTCAACCCAAATCCAACCCATTTAAGCCAATAAGTCAAAAAGTGTACTTTTTTAGAACATCCTAAACCAATCCTTAGTCACTCCCAACGCTGTGATGCAAATTCAAGTAATGAGAATTATTATTTCTTATACAAAACGAAAGACTATCTCCCTACTAGGACAGTGTGTATAGGGTTATTCGAATTGTACAGCCCGCCCAACTCAAATTGATCTGCATATAAATGGGCGGTTTCGCAGACACAATATGGGCGGATGCGGTTTGGTATATGACATTATCGCGGATTGCAGGTTTTACCTGCACCCATAGGAACTTGCCCACACTTAGACTTTATTTATTATTTATTTTTTAACCTGGAATATATCCATTTGCTCATTGGTAAATTTTACATGTACTCAACACATTTTCTTACTATATTGAGATGAAATATATACACATTTGTTTATCTTTTCATTATTTTATTCTTTTACACTTTTTGTCAAAGGAATAATGAAGATTGAAGATTACATTATATACTTTTTAGTTTGCTTTTGTGCAGAGTTCATCAAACATATGTACGGAATTGGAATTTTTGAAAGTTAGATGTAATTCATGATGGAGTATGCGAGTTTGCAAATGTTTTTATTTTATTTAATGTGTTTGGATTGGATGAAGTTTCACAACAATTTATTGTTATTTTATTATTGTATTTTGGATGAATGTAAAAGTTAATGAAGAATTACTTTTAAGTAAGTTTAAAATTTTGAATGATTCTACTTTAATTGTTTTGTTGGGAAATGAATGATTTTAATGATTTAATTTAGGATTTTGAATGATTTGCTTGTGTTAAGAATTAATTTTGTTATGTTTTTAATTTCATAAGTTTTAATTAATTAATTATTAATGTTGAGCATTTTAGAAAATAGGGAGAAAAGGATCTAAAATAAAAATTTACAAAACGGAAAAAAAAGGCCCAAAAATAAATTTTTAAAGAAAAAAGTTCAATTTGCAAATCGCCCGCATATTCATAAACTCTATCCGCACAAACAGTAATTTGCACTGCAAACAATTACAAGTTTAATTTTTTCCAAACCACACATATGTAGATAGGTCCAAACTACAAATCAAACTATCTAAAATCAAACCGCGATACCCCTACTCCCTACTATGTCATCTTTTATCACTAATGCAGTAGGTTGGTAACATTAAACTCATATCAAGTACTTATTAAACCTTAAAGGTTCACATTTCATTTTTATTATTATTATTATTATTATTATTATTATTATTATTATTTTTAATTTTTGAGGGTCTTGGATGGACACCTATAAATGGGCATGAAATGAAGAGAGTATTGGGTCCTTTTTTCACAAACCCACACTTCTTGATGGCTGCGGCGTATTTGGCCCATTTAGAGTATGAAATAGCGAAAGAATAAATAAGTGCTTGAATTGACTTCGGTAAATTAAGAGCGCTGATATTAACATTTCATAAATTATTTTAGAATTTTTAATTTTGAACTTTTTTTTTATTACAATAATAATATCAAATAAAATTATTATAAAAGATATTATTAATTTTGAGACACTTCATCTCACAATTGAACCTACATACCCACTACATCATGAATTAGAGTCTATGAGAGCACCCACCTCTATCACTACCTATCCATCTTTCCCAAATCCCACCTTAAAAATCTACCCACCCTCAAAACCTTGAAAACCTTTTGACAGCAATATTCCGCCAATAACAGTGGCAACCATTTGATTACCTACACTAAACGGCCAAACATAGAAATTTTTTAACACATTAAATGGTTAAAATTGTTAACATTTACAGAAGTTTTCATATTTTCAAGTTCGGAAATACAGGTCCAAACATTACTTATTTGTTCGGGAAATAAACAAGTAATGTTCGGGAATGCAAGTCTGAATATAAATTTTTTTTAACACATTAAACGGTCAAAATTATTAATGCTTGTAGAAATTTTCATTTTTTCAAGTTCGGGAACATAGGTCCGAACATTACTTATTTGTTCGTGAACACATTCCTGAACGTAGATTATTGGTTCAGGAATGCAAGTCTGAACATGGAAATTTATTAACACTTTCAACGGTTAAAATTTTTAACACGCACAGAGATTTTATTTTTTCAAGTTCGGTAGTTTCAGTTTTGAAGAAGCAATGAGAGAGAGAGAGAGAGTATACCAACTGTGACAATGGTTAAACCAACAAAGACAATATTCTTTGTCTTCGTGAGTTTTGAAAAGAATGAGACTCTTCTTCTTTTTAGTGAGTTTTGTTAGGGTTTTTTGGAATGAATTTTTTTTGGGGGGTGTGTGAGTGTGCATTCAATGGTTGGAAAGTTTAAAGATAATTTTGATTTTATTTGGAGGGAGAAGAAATTTTAAGGGTTTCAAAATTTATAAGTCGGAGTCCAAAAAACTGGGA